GAAAGTGGCGGATCCACCTATTGTTAAACCCTATACAGCCGGCGGATCCACCTATTGTTAAGAAAGCCCTATATAGTGGTGGATCCACCTATTGATAAACCCTATAGGAAGCGGATCCACCTGTTATTTAAACCTATGTTGTGGCCGGGATCACCTATTATTCTAAACCCTATAGAGTGGTGGATCCACCTATTGTTTAAACCCTATACAGCTGGCCCGGATCCACCTGTTGTTTAGAACCTCTTATATAGTGGTGGATCCACCTATTGTTAAACCCTTATACAGTGGCGGATCCACCTGTTGTTAAAGCCCTATACAGTGGTGGATCCACCTATTGTTAAACCCTATACAGTGGCGGATCCACCTATTGTTAAACTCCTATAGAGTGGTGGATCCACCTATTGTTAAACCCTATAGAAGTGGTGGATCCAGTCTATTGTTAAACCCTATACAGTGGTGGATCCAGTCTATTGTTAAACCCTATAGAGTGGCGGATCCACCTATTGTTAAACCCTATACCTGGCGGATGCACCTATTGTTAAACCCTATAGAGTGGCGGATCCACCTATTGTTAAACCCTATGCTGGCGGATCCACCTGTTAAAGCCCTATATAGTGGGTGGATCCACCTATTGTTAAAACCCTATACAGGCGGATCCACCTGTTATTTAAACCCTATACAGTGAATTGTTGGATCCACCTGTTGTTAAACCCTATAGAATGGTAGGATCCACCTGTTGTTAAACCCTATGCAGTGGTAGGATCCACCTATTGTTAAACCCTATACAGGTGCGGATCCACCCTATTGTTAAAACCCTATACAGCTGTGGCGGATCCACCTATTGTTAAACCCTATGGAAGCGTGGATCCACCTATTGTTAAACCTATAGAGTGCAAGGATCCACCTATTGTTAAACCCTATAGAGTATGTATGATCCACCTATTGTTAAACCCTATAGAGCTGGCGGATCCACCCATTGTTAAACCCTATACAGTGTGATCCACCATTATCATAATCCCTATACAGTGGGGATCCACTTCCATTGTTACACCACTTACCATGGCTGTGTAGGAACAGCTGCTGCATTGATGGTGGAGGCTGTTTTTCTAAGGAACTCATCAGCATTGGCCCATTCCTTCCAAGTGGATCTTCTGCCGGCATGAAGTGATCACCCACAAATCTATCACATCAGCAATCTGAAAAAAACCACCAGTGATTTGATAGGAATCTCTTCTCTTGTCAAAACACTCAATTATCCAAGAATTCAGGTTAGATTTGGTCTTCAGTGATCTGTATGTAGCAATCTGTACTTGTAGTGATCTGTACTTGTAGGTAATCTGTACTTGTAGCAAGATGTTATGAACAGGCTGTGGTTCTGGATGATGTTATGAACAGGCATGTGTTCTAGATGATGACCACCTCCTTATAGCTAACATTTGTCAACAGCCGTGTTCTAGGATGATGTTATGATGCAGGCTGTGTTCTAGATGATGGTAATGTTATCAGCAGGCTGTGTTCTAGGTGATGTTATACGAACAGGCTGTGTTCAGGATGATGTTATGAACAGGCTGTAAGTTCTAGGATGATGATGTTATCAGCAGGCTGTGTTCTAGGTGATGTTATCAGCAGGCTGTGTTCTAGGTGATGTTATCAGCAGGCTGTGTTCTAGGTGATGTTATCAGAAGGTTGTGTTTTAGATGATGTTATAAACAGGCTGTGTTCTAGATGATGTTATAAACAGGCTGTGTTCTAGATGATGTTATGAACAGGCTGTGTTTTAGATGATGTTATGAACAGGCTGTGTTCTAGATGATGTTATAAACAAGCTGTGTTCTAGGTGATGTTATGAGCAGGCTGTGTTCTAGATGATGTTATCAGCAGGCTGTGTTCTAGGTGATGTTATCAGCAGGCTGTGTTCTAGGTGATGTTATGAACAGGCTGTGTTCTAGATGATGTTATGAACAGGCTGTGTTCTAGGTGATGTTATCAGCAGGTTGTGTTCTAGATGATGTTATGAACAGGCTGTGTTCTAGATGATGTTATGAACAGGCTGTGTTCTAGATGATGTTATGAACAGGCTGTGTTCTAGATGATGTTATAAATGATGTTATAAAACAGGCTGTGTTCTAGGTGATGTTATGAGCAGGCTGTGTTCTAGATAATGTTATCAGCAGGCTGTGTTCTAGGTGATGTTATCAGCAGGCTGTGTTCTAGGTGATGTTATCAGAAGGTTGTGTTCTAGATGATGTTATAAACAGGCTGTGTTCTAGATGATGTTATCAGCAGGCTGTGTTCTAGATGATGTTATGAGCAGGTTGTGTTCTAGATGATGTTATGAACAGGTTGTGTTCTAGATGATGTTATGAACAGGCTGTGTTCTAGATGATGTTATCAGCAGGCTGTGTTCTAGATGATGTTATCAGCAGGTTGTGTTCTAGATGATGTTATGAACAGGCTGTGTTCTAGATGATGTTATGAACAGGCTGTGTTCTAGATGATGTTATGAACAGGCTGTGTTCTAGATGATGTTATAAACAAGCTGTGTTCTAGGTGATGTTATGAGCAGGCTGTGTTCTAGGTAATGTTATCAGCAGGCTGTGTTCTAGGTGATGTTATCAGCAGGCTGTGTTCTAGGTGATGTTATCAGAAGGTTGTGTTTTAGATGATGTTATAAACAGGCTGTGTTCTAGATGATGTTATAAACAGGCTGTGTTCTAGATGATGTTATGAACAGGCTGTGTTCTAGATGATGTTATCAGCAGGCTGTGTTCTAGGTGATGTTATCAGCAGGCTGTGTTCTAGATGATGTTATGAGCAGGCTGTGTTCTAGATGATGTTATCAACAGGCTGTGTTCTAGGTGATGTTATGAAGCAGGCTGTGTTCTAGATGATGTTATAAACAGGCTGTGTTCTAGGTGATGTTATGAGCAGGCTGTGTTCTAGGTGATGTTATCAGCAGGCTGTGTTCTAGGTGATGTTATCAGCAGGTTGTGTTCTAGGTGATGTTATCAGAAGGTTGTGTTTTAGATGATGTTATAAACAGGCTGTGTTCTAGATGATGTTATGAACAGGCTGTGTTCTAGATGATGTTATAAACAGGCTGTGTTCTAGATGATGTTATAAACAAGCTGTGTTCTAGGTGATGTTATGAGCAGGCTGTGTTCTAGGTAATGTTATGAGCAGGCTGTGTTCTAGATGTTATGCATGTTGATGTTATCAGCAGGCTGTGTTCTAGATGATGTTATCAGAAGGTTGTGTTTTAGATGATGTTATAAACAGGTTGTGTTCTAGATGATGTTATGAGCAGGCTGTGTTCTAGATGATGTTATGAACAGGATGTGTTCTAGGTGATGTTATGAACAGGCTGTGTTCTAGGTGATGTTATGAACAGGCTGTGTTCTAGAGGCTGTGTTCTAGGTAATGTTATCAGCAGGCTGTGTTCTAGGTGATGTTATCAGCAGCAGGCTGTGTTCTAGATGATGTTATCAACAGGTTGTGTTCTAGATGATGTTATAAACAGGCTGTGTTCTAGATGATGTTATGAGCAGGCTGTGTTCTAGGTAATGTATCTGTGTTAGGTAATGTTATCAGCAGGCTGTGTTCTAGGTGATGTTATCAGCAGGCTGTGTTCTAGGTGATGTTATCAGAAGGTTGTGTTTTAGATGATGTTATAAACAGGTTGTGTTCTAGATGATGTTATCAGCAGGCTGTGTTCTAGATGATGTTATGAGCAGGCTGTGTTCTAGGTGATGTTATCAGCAGGTTGTGTTCCAGGTGATGTTATCAGCAGCCCGTGTTCTAGGTGATGTTATGAGCAGGTTGTGTTCTAGGTGATGTTATCAGCAGGTTGTGTTCTAGATGATGTTATGAACAGGCTGTGTTCTAGGTGATGTAATCAGCAGGTTGTGTTTTAGATGATGTTATAAACAGGCGGTGTTCTAAATGAGGGTATGAACAGGTTGTGTTCTAGATGATGTTATAAACAAGCTGTGTTCTAGGTGATGTTATGAGCAGGTTGTGTTCTAGATGATGTTATAAACAAGCTGTGTTCTAGATGATGTTATAAACAAGCTGTGTTCTAGATGATGTTATGAACAGGCTGTGTTCTAGATGATGTTATCAGCAGGTTGTGTTTTAGATGATGTTATAAACAGGCTGTGTTCTAGGTGATGTTATGAACAGGCTGTGTTCTAGGTGATGTTATGAACAGGCTGTGTTCTAGGTGATGTTATGAACAGGCTGTGTTCTAGGTGATGTTATAAACAAGCTGTGTTCTAGATGATGTTATCAACAGGCTGTGTTCTAGATGATGTTATCAACAGGCTGTGTTCTAGATGATGTTATCAGCAGGTTGTGTTTTAGATGATGTCATAAACAGGCTGTGTTCTAGGTTATGTCATGAACAGGATGTGTTCTAGGTGATGTTATGAACAGGCTGTGTTCTAGGTGATGTTATGAACAGGCTGTGTTCTAGGTGATGTAATCAGCAGGTTGTGTTTTAGATGATGTTATAAACAGGCTGTGTTCTAGATGATGTTATGAACAGGCTGTGTTCTAGGTGATGTCATGAACAGGATGTGTTCTAGGTGATGTTATGAACAGGCTGTGTTCTAGGTGATGTAATCAGCAGGTTGTGTTTTAGATGATGTTATAAACAGGCTGTGTTCTAGATGATGTTATGAACAGGTTGTGTTCTAGATGATGTTATGAACAAGCTGTGTTCTAGGTGATGTTATGAGCAGGCTGTGTTCTAGGTGATGTTATGAGCAGGTTGTGTTCTAGATGATGTTATAAACAAGCTGTGTTCTAGGTGATGTTATGAGCAGGCTGTGTTCTAGGTGATGTTATGAACAGGTTGTGTTCTAGATGATGTCATGAGCAGGCTGTGTTCTAGTTGATGTTATGAGCAGGTTGTGTTCTAGGTGATGTCATGAGCAGGCTGTGTTCTAGGTGATGTCATGAGCTGGCTGAGATTATTAAGACCCTCCCCCAATGGTTACCTTTGCTCAATGATTTTCTTCCAGCTGACCTTCTCCTTCATGAGGTCACGGTACTGGTCATTGGACAGGATCACAGAGTCCTCCTTCTCAGCTAGTCCTAATATATATCTGTTGACAGAAGACAAACAAACAATACATCAACAATTTTCAGCTCTGGATGTCTGGATGGAAGAATCCTTACATTTCTTAATTTTGTTCCCCTTATGTCTTTAGTTTAGTTAGTTTCTGTAGCAAGGCAAACATCAGAGCAGATGCTCGTCCTGCTTCACCTTGCTCTGCTAGCAAAGTCTACCTGTCACCACAGCTTCCCATCAGTTTATGGTATTGCTTATACCTGCCTCTAATACTACAGCCTACCTGTCATATCAGCTTGCCACCAGGTTACTATATTATTTTTACCTGTCTCTAATACTACAACCTACCTGTCATATCAGCTTGCCACCAGTTTATGGTATTGTCTTTACCTGTCTCTAATACTACAACCTACCTGTCATATCAGCTTGCCACCAGGTTACTATATTATTTTTACCTGCCTCTAATACCACAACCTACCTGTCATATCAGCTTGCCACCAGGTTACTATATTACCTTTACCTGCCTCTAATACCACAACCTACCTGTCATATCAGCTTGACACCAGGTTACTATATTACCTTTACCTGTCTCTAATACTACAACCTACCTGTCATATCAGCTTGCCACCAGGTTACTATATTATCTTTACTTGTCTCTAATACCACAACCTACCTGTCATATCAGCTTGCCACCAGGTTACTATATTACCTTTACTTGTCAGGTTACTACCTATTATCAGCTTTACTTGTCTCTAATACCACAACCTACCTGTCATATCAGCTTGCCACCAGGTTACTATATTATCTTTACCTGTCTCTAATACCACAACCTACCTGTCATATCAGCTTGCCACCAGGTTACTATATTACCTTTACTTGTCTCTAATACTACAACCTACCTGTCATATCAGCTTGCCACCAGGTTACTATATTACCTTTACCTGTCTCTAATACTACAACCTACCTGTCATATCAGCTTGCCACCAGGTTACTATATTACCTTAACTTGTCTCTAATACTACAGCCTACCTGTCCTATCAGCTTGCCACCAGTTTATGGTATTGCTTCTACCTGCCTCTAATACCACAGCCTACCTGTCACCTCAGCTTGCCAGCAACTAACCACCAAACTATATTGAAGACATGTAGATTCTTTCCTTCACCTGAGTTCACCTTCCTGAGTTAATAATTCTACAATGCACAAATATGCAACTGACTGCACAGTTGTGGGGAGTAGATGCTGTGGTGTTCTGCAACAACTGGATTAATAAAATGTCCCTATTATACCAGTAGCTTTACTTTTGTACATTCACAATAACCTGAGTTTCAAGATAGAGAAATCAGATATGTTGACTGATTGTTCCCTTAAGTTATAACTAGAAATTAGAAGCCTGATGCTTAAGTCCTAAGCAGGTATTTTCAGATCTTCAGACTGACTTTGTTAGATAATATAAACCCACCGGTCATCATAGCTGACCACTAGCCTCCCCTGTATTCTCCTGGATGGAGTGAACACCAGGTGTTCCGATTCCTCCAGCTGTAAAAGGATGTCCTGGTCTCGGATCTTGTTGTCATGATAGTTCCGGTACTTTCGCCACTCGGGGACAAACACTGTGACCTTGTGACCTCTGTCCAGGAAGTAGTCAACAGCAATCTGGATACCTTTGCAGGAGAAGACTTTGTTGTTACCGTGACTGTAAAGATATCCCATGATCAGTGACTTTGCCACACCCTATTCTTCGATTGGGTATATATATGTATCTAATTCAATTTGCAAATCCTAATTATTGGAACAATAGTCATCATTGTTGACATTGTAAGGATACTACCTCTATTAAAACACAGCTACAAGCCCTTCCTGTGTGCTGGCTATAATGACACTAAACTAAAGGTCTACCACCCAGAGACAGAAGGATGCAGGAGGGTGGGAGTTATTCTGATTGTGATGAAACCCTGCATCAAGTTGACTTCAATACAATTTATGTAGTCCATGTGTGCTTGTCACGGACATATCATGTCAAGTATTAAAGTCAACTTTTGAACCTAACCTAAATCTTGTATCATGCAACTAGCCCATAATATTCAGTTTTCCGTCTATATGATCTAATTTATATAAACGTGTTTATTTTGGGAGAAATACAGTATTTTCCTCTATTAATGCCAATAGAAGACTATTTTCAAGTCTTTATTGAGACTATATCTTCATTATTAGTGAATGTAGAACAATTAAAATAATATGTGATGGTAGCCACTAACGTCTGCTATCACATGTCCAGATTTGATTCATAAGATTAATGAATATTTTTTGGCTTTATCATAAAAACTTGATGCTTGAGAAACACAGTCTCTAAGTTTCAAGTATCATTTTCAATCTTTCTTGGCTAAGTCAGAGGTTGACCCCTCTGATCCGGCAACTCCTATAAATTCTCAAACCATTCTAGTTGGGGGCAGTTCCACGGTGGACTCACTCCAACTAGGACCTCTTAGGCAGCTGGACACAGGAATATGTTGGTAAGTTCCTTGTAATCTTACCTTCAGTCTGGCGTTCCAATTATTACTTCACATAATACACTATTCCTGTCAGGGGTATTTTTTATTATAACTGGTTCTTCATGTCAATATAGGCTTAATAGGAGTTCAGCTCATTGATACATATTGCAATTTTAATTTGGGTTATTCAGATCTACATGTATAGTCCTAATAAATGTATTAACATTACTGTTTGGTTGTGCTCTTTTATTATATATTATTTTTTTTCTTAGTCACTGAATGCGGTCATTATGGTGTCTCTAGGCGACCACACATGGTTGAGCCAATGACCCATAACGCATGGGGTCATTACCGCTGCCAGCACCGTGAACGTCCACCAGCCAGAGACAGAAGGACGCAGGAGGGTGGAGCCCCGGATGACCAACACGGATCCTGATGGATGGACAACCCCAAGGAACCCACAGAACGGAAGACTGACCCCACAGAAAAAAAAAATGCATGACAACGATGCACAGGAGGTGGAGGCCGAGGTGGACACACACAGAGAAATAATGGAGGACATGGATGTAATGGAGGCTGAGAAAACCATGGAGGCTGCAGGAGAATGGAGGTAGACACCATAAAGGAGGCATGTAGAGAGAATCACAACACACAACAGAGGAAGAGGCCACAGGCACACAGGACACACACAGAGGAAGAATCACAGAGGTGGAGACACAGGTGGAGGCCAGAAGGAATCACACAGAGGACGTGAGAGCCACACAGACAAAACCAGGCCACACCACAGCACAGGAGGCTCACCAAAATGTGGAGGAGAATCACGACACACATGCACAGAGGTGAGGAAGGACACACAGACACACATGGAGGTGGAGGCTGAGGTGGAGGAAGACCACACACAGGATGGAGGCCAGAGAGGAGAAACCAGCCACACAGGAGGTGGAGGACCACACATGGACACAGGCACACAGACACCACACAGGAAAATAGAGGTGGACACAGCACACAGCATCAAGGATGTAATGAGGTGGAGAACACACAGGTGGAGGCCACACACGACCCCACACCACACACACAGAGTGGAGGCCAGCACAGACACACGGAGACACACAGAGGCCAGAGACACACACAGGAGGACAGAGAACACACACAGGAGATGGCTGTAGAGACACACACAAGTGTATGAGAACAACATAATAGAGGTGGAGGCTGTGTAGAAACGAAAAGGATGTAGACTGGTGTAATACAGGGAGGCTGAGTGAAGAGTACATGGAGGTGGAGGTGTAGACACAAAGGAAAATAGAGGGAGAGGCTGTAGAGAAACGAAAATGCACAGAGGCCAGAGGCACACAGTAGCAGGAGGCACAGAGGAACACAGTGGAGAATGGAGGCTGTAGAGACACAGAGGTGGACAAGAGAAAATAGAAGGTGGAGAAGAAATGGAACTATGGAAATGGACCAGTAAGGAATGAGGTGGAGGCTGTGTAGAGAATACTATGTGAAAACTGCTGGGGTGTAATAGAGGTGGAGGCTGTGTAGTACTATGTTGCTGGTGAATATGGTAGAGGTGGAAATGATTGTAGAAACTATGCTGCATGGTGTAAGAGGGAGGCTGTGTAGAGAATACTATGCTGCTGGTGTAATAGAGAACTGGAGGCTGTGTAAGCTGTGTAGAAATACTATGTTGCTGAAGGGAGGCTGTGTGTAATAGAGGTGGAGAATACCATGTAGGAGTAATAGAGTGGAGGCTGGAATACTAATAGCTGGTGTAATAGCTGTGTAGAGAATACTATGTTGAATAAAGATGTGGCTGTGTAATAGGGGAGGCTGTGTAGAGAATACTATGCTGCTGCTGAGTTAGGCTGTGTAGAGGGCTGAGGCTGTGTAGAGAATACTATGTTGCTGGTGTAAGAATAGAGGTGGAGGCTGTGTAGAGGGAATACTATGCTGCTGAGGTGTAATAGAGGTGGAGGCTGTGTAGAGATACTATGTTGCTGGTGTAATGGGAGGTGGAGGCTGTGTAGAGAGAATATAATGCTGCTGGTGTAATACAAGGAGAGGTAGAGAATACTATGTTGCTGGTGAATAGAGGTGGAGGCTGTGTAGTTGCTGGTGTAATAGAGGTGGAGGCTGTGTAGAAACTATGTTGCTGGTGTAATGGGGTGGAGGTAGGGAATACTATGTTGCTGGAGAATACTATGCTGTAGAGAAATGTTGCTGGTGTAATGGGGTGAGGCTGTGTAGAGAATACTATGTAATAGAAGGCTGTGTGTAATAGAGGTGGAGGCTGTGTAGAGAATACTATGTTGCTGGTGTAATAGAGGGTGGAGGCTGTGTAGTGTAGTAGAGAATGGAGGCTGTGTAAAGAATACTATGTTGCTGGTGTAATAGAGGTGGAGGCTGTGTAGAGAATACTATGCTGCTGGTGTGTAACAGAGGCTGTGGAGATGGAGGTGTAGAGAATACTATGTTGCTGTGGTGTAATAGAAGTGGAGGCTGTGTAGAGAATACTATGTTGCTGGTGTAATAGAGGTGGAGGCTGTGTAGAGAATACTATGTTGCTGGTGTAATAGAGGGGAGGCTGTGTAGAGAATACTATGTTGCTGGTGTAATAGAGGTGGAGGCTGTGTAGAGAATACTATGTTGCTGGTGTAATAGAGGTGGAGGCTGTGTAGAGAATACTATGCTGCTGTGCAGTGCTGTGTAGAGTACTATGCTGCTGGTGTAATAGGAGGCTGTGTAGAGAATACTATGCTGCTGGTGTAATAGAGGTGGAGGCTGTGTAGAGAATACTATGCTGCTGGTGTAATAGAGGTGGAGGCTGTGTAGAGAATACTATGTTGCTGGTGTAATAGAGGGAGAGGCTGTGTAGAGAATACTATGTTGCTGGTGTAATAGAGGTGGAGGCTGTGTAGAGAATACTATGTTGCTGGTGTAATAGAGGTGGAGGCTGTGTAGAGAATACTATGTTGCTGGTGTAATAGAGGTGGAGGCTGTGTAGAGAGAATACTATGTTGCTGGTGTAATAGAGGTGGAGGCTGTGTAGAGAATACTATGTTGCTGGTGTAATAGAAGGGGAGGCTGTGTAGAGAATACTATGTTGCTGGTGTAATAGAGGTGGAGGCTGTGTAGAGAATACTATGTTGCTGGTGTAATAGAGGTGGAGGCTGTGTAGAGAATACTATGTTGCTGGTGTAATAGAGGGTGGAGGCTGTGTAGAGAATACTATGTTGCTGGTGTAATAGAGGTGGAGGCTGTGTAGAGAATACTATGTTGCTGGTGTAATAGAGGTGGAGGCTGTGTAGAGAATACTATGTTGCTGGTGTAATAGAAGTGGAGGCTGTGTAGAGAATACTATGTTGCTGGTGTAATAGAGGTGGAGGCTGTGTAGAGAATACTATGTTGCTGGTGTAATAGAGGTGGAGGCTGTGTAGAGAATACTATGTTGCTGGTGTAATAGAGGTGGAGGCTGTGTAGAGAATACTATGTTGCTGGTGTAATAGAGGTGGAGGCTGTGTAGAGAATACTATGTTGCTGGTGTAATAGAGGTGGAGGCTGTGTAGAGAATACTATGTTGCTGGTGTAATAGAGGTGGAGGCTGTGTAGAGAATACTATGTTGCTGGTGTAATAGAGGTGGAGGCTGTGTAGAGAATACTATGCTGCTGGTGTAATAGAGGGAGAGGCTGTGTAGAGAATACTATGTTGCTGGTGTATTATAGAGGTGGAGGCTGTGTAGAGAATACTATGATGCTGGTGTAATAGAGGTGGAGGCTGTGTAGAGAATACTATGTTGCTGGTGTAATAGAGGTGGAGGCTGTGTAGAGAATACTATGTTGCTGGTGTAATAGAGGTGGAGGCTGTGTAGAGAATACTATGTTGCTGGTGTAATAGAGGTGGAGGCTGTGTAGAGAATACTATGTTGCTGGTGTAATAGAGGTGGAGGCTGTGTAGAGAATACTATGTTGCTGCTGGTGTACTATGTTGCTGGTGTAATATAGGTGGAGGCTGTGTAGAGAATACTATGTTGCTGGTGTAATATAGGTGGAGGCTGTGTAGAGAATACTATGTGGCTGGTGTCAGAGAGGGAGGTAACTCTGCACAGACAATTGTTGCACCTCAAATGATGTGGCCACTTGTTGCTCTGATAACTGCAAGAGCGTGCATGCAGACAGGTAACTGTCTGGAGAATAAAAGCAATGGGAATTCATATCACTGGCATTTATGTTTTCCTGACAACAAGGGGAGACACACCGAGGGGATGTATTTATGAATGTCTTTCACTGTTTTTGATGCCACAATCTCACATCAGTGTCACATCCACAATCACATGGCTTCATTCAAATTGATTTTTTCAAATATTTTGCTGAAATGTTAGCTATATACTTTTCATACCATAATTATATAAAACCTTTTTGCCAGATATAACACTTGTCTTCAGAATTCTATGGGAAATTTGAACATAAGCAACAATGTGACAATTTTTGTTTTGCACTCACAACATGGCAACATTACTCCCATCGATGATGATGTAACGAAGGGCATCCCCTGGAGGTGTGTTTTGTTTTGTAGACCCTGGAACAGATCTATCTGATGCACTATAAGCTGGCACAGGGACAGTGGCATGAGGGTTGACAGACATGAGAGCAACAGGCACTGGCCGCTGCTGCTGCTGCTGATGTTGCTGTTGTGCATCCAGCACTGATCTATCAGACCTCTGTTGTCGTGCATCCCATGCTGATGTACCAAGTATCTCATCCCGTGCAGCATGTGCTGATGCAACGAGTCTCTGTTGTCTAGGTGGGATCTGGGGCATGGTATCAGGCAAGTTGGGAGCAGCTTCCCAAACCTTCATCACACAAGTCTGTTCCTGATCTGAGTCTGGATCAGATTTGCGTTTTGTACCTGAAACACTTTGGTGCTTAGGTGATTGTGCCTTGTATAGTTTCTTCCTGTCTTCGCTGCTCTGTTGCTGGTGGTAGGCTGCTGCCAAGTCTTTCTGCTTCTGCTCATTTTTCCTTTTATCTCTTTGGCTCAAACCTCCTTGTTTGCTTGCCCCTATAGTTTCTTGCTTGTCCTTGTCACACTGGAAATGATCCTCCACTATCATAATGCTGTCAGTGTCATCCAAACACACCACATCGTCTTCTGAGTCCTCACCACCAGCCTTGGTTTCATCTGTACTCATACCCAACTGCTGCTTTGCTTCTTTCACCTGCATCAGCAGATTGAGGAACTCAGTTGGTTTCAATGGTGGTGGAGCATATATAAACCCCTCTTCAATCTCCTCATCTGTGTAACCAGCAGATGTAGCAAACCTCTTCAGTTCTGCAGCATCTACACCATGACCTTTCCTTCTTGGACTAATCTGTGCTGCAGATGTGAACTGTTTTGTTACCTTAGAAACTTCTACACTTGGTCTCCTACACGATGCACCATCTACCACTGTCTTCCCCACAATTGTATCAATTTCACCTGAGGATTTCTTCCGGCATATTGGAGCAGTAACATTCTTTCTTGAATCTTCACCTCTAGCACGCACAATAACCTCAGATGATGTTTTCTTAATGCCCGAGCCATGAAGCTGGTCATCTGACACGCATCATCAGTCTGATGCTGACCCACCTCTAAGAAGATTCGCTTGATCTTGTCAGGGTAGTTAAGTGAGCCACTGTGTTCCCCAAATGTCTCTTCTAACTTCTCATCCAGTCTCTGAGAGACAGCCCTACCCCTGGTATTCTGTGAATTTGGGTCATTGGGGGAAGTGACTTCTGGGCTGTCCACTTCAATGATGTCACTGCTGCACCCGGTCAGTTCCTCCAGGGCTGAGAGAGCAAGAGTAACTGCAAGTTCATTACCACTGATCTTTATGGTGCTGGAGGAAGGTCTTATCAACACTGCATTTGTGTTTTTCTCAATATTTTCAAGAATTTCATCGTCAAGGAAGTCAGCAGAGCACTTAATGACCTTTGTCTCTTCAGGGTCACTTAGGCCAAGAATGTAACTCTGAAAATGAATGAAAAAGGCTATGAGATATATCACCCTATGAGATATATCACCCTATGAGATATATCACCCAACACAACTGTGCCATGAAATCTGTCACAAGTAGATTTACTAGCCTAGAAGAGAAAATTTGTTTCAAAAAAAGTGTATTGTGTGTAATTGTGTGTTATGTATCAAAGGGAAATATGCAGAATGTGACATATCTAAGCCATGTAAATATCAGCACTCTTATATATATTTCAATACAGAGGGATGTGGACACTGGCCATTGTCAAGATAAATTAACGCTATCAACATGGTCAAACTATGTTATTGTTTCACTGAAAATAAGAAATAATACAACTACTGCTGTCTGTGTACAATACACAAAGTGTATTTATAAAGTGGTCAAATGTAACGAGTTATATCAGGGATCAGTAGGTCCGTCTCCTATTCTCGAGGGTTTCCTATTCTCGCGGTAAATACGTTTTCTGCCGAAATCGCCAATGCGTGACACTTAGCGGTTGTTTACATCACCGACTGGTAACTAGGAAGTGGACCAAGTCGGTGAATAATCAAAATCTTGCAGTGTCACGAATATTGGGGAGTTTATACCAACTTGGACATATCATTACTTTTTCCCGCCCTTTCCGGCAGGATGACTCTTACATACACTCAATAACGTTCATTCCTCGTAATACCGCGAGAATAGGAGAAGCCTCATTTCGTCAATGGCGGATGGCATTGTTTATCACCGGGCTCACGAGTGGTGATTCACCTGATGGATATGGCAGCTGATAGATGTAGATGATAGAGGAGAAGGCCCTTCATTTAAAAACAACAAGCATTCATACGATAAGAATTGATTATGTTATTTTTTCAGCCGATATCCGTAAGTACCGCGAGAATAGGAAACGCCTTCCTACAGTACACATTCTAGTGTTTTGGGACATCCAGGATTCCAACCTTTTTTCACAGACTCGGCAAATAATCGCCAGCACACAAAGTCAAAACCAGGCCCCAATTTCTAGAAACAAACCTAAGTTTTTACTCAAAGTTCAAACTGAGTTTGACAATTTGAAACAGCTGAATTTTTAACTCAACTGCATTTTTAACTCAAAACACACAACTTAAGTAATCTATCCACCAAACTTACATTGTTTACTATGTTCTGGGAAAATTTATTTCTCAAATTTGAGTAAAAACTCTAACTTAAGTCAAAACTTCAAGAAATCAGGGTCAGAGCATGTAACAACACTATGTCAGTTATTGGTACGCCTATTACATCACCACAGAAGCTTGAATTGAAACCTGTAGTGAATGGGCAGCCAGTGTAAAGAATGTAGGAGTGTCAGAGCGTCATCAGATTTACCTGACTAGGTCACAACACGTGCAGCAGCATTCTACATACGCTGAAGTTTCCTTATCCGTGTCTTAGTGGCACCAGCGAGAAGAGAGTTACAGTAATCAATCCTGCTCATAACTAGAGACAGAGTGGTGGCAGATTCGCTGGTGAGATATGGTTGGATATGTCCAATAGTGCGTTATCGAGCAAAGCAGCTCTGAACTAGATGGGAAACGTGATCATCCAGTGACACGTCAGAGTGGATAATCACACCAAGGTCTTTGACCTTGTGAGCAATTTGGATGTTTGCATTATCAAACTTGAAGAATGTAAGACCTTTCTGTGGCCCTAAGACAATGCATTCCATCTTGTCACTATTCAGTTTGTTGTAATACATCCACGCCTTGATGTCTTCACAACAAGTGCTCAATTCACTCAAAGCCCTGTGTGCCTGAAGTGGCTGTGACTCCATGAATCTGTAGACTCGAGAGTCATCAGCATAGTGATGTCTGTCCGTTTCATGTCTTTCCACGATGCATACAAGCTCCTTCATATACAAGGTGAAAAAAAAAGGGTCCTAAGACGGATCCTTGAGGAACCCCACACGTAAGATATGATGGGTCAGATGACAACTTGCCTACAGTCACTCACTGTCCCATTGCATACAGCCATTCACTGCCCCATTACATAGTCACTCACTGTCCCATAACATACAGTCACTCACTGCCCCATTACATACAGTCACTCACTGTCCCATTACATACAGCCACTCACTGTCCCATCACATACAGCCACTCACTGTCCCATCACATGCAGCCACTTACTGTCCCATCACATACAGCCACTCACTGTCCCATTACTTACAGACAGCCACTCACTGTCCAAATATATACAGTCACTCACTGTCCCATTACATACAGCCACTCACTGCCCCATCACATACAGTCACTCACTGTCCCATTACATACAGCCACTCACTGTCCCATTACATACAGCCACTCACTGTCCCATTACATACAGCCACTCACTGTTCCATTACATACAGTCACTCACTGTCCCATTACATACAGCCACTCACTGTCCCATCACATACAGCCACTCACTGTCCCATTACATACAGCCACTCACTGTCCCATTACATACAGCCACTCACTGTCCCATCACATACAGCCACTCACTGTCCCATCACATACAGCCACTCACTGTCCCATCACATACAGCCACTCACTGTCACATTACATACAGCCACTCACTGTCCCATTACATACAGTCACTCACTGTCCCATTACATACAGTCACTCACTCTCCCATTACTTACAGCCACTCACTGTCCCATTACATACAGCCACTCACTGTCCCATCACATACAGCCACTCACTGTCCCATCACATACAGCCACTCACTGTCCCATTACATACAGTCACTCACTGTCCCATTACATACAGCCACTCACTGTCCCATTACATACAGCCACTCACTGTCCCATTACATACAGCCACTCACTGTCCCATTACATACAGTCACTCACAGTCCCATTACATACAGTCACTCACTGTCCCATAACATACAGTCACTCACTGTCCCATTACATACAGTCACTCACTGTCCCATTACATACAGTCACTCACTGCCCGATTACTTACAGCCACTCAATGTCCCATTACATACAGCCACTCACTGTCCCATCACATACAGCCACTAACTGTCCCATTATATACAGTCACTCACTGTCCCATTACATACAGCCACTCACTGTCCCATGACATACAGCCACTCACTGTCCCATTACTTACAGTCACTCAATGTCCCATTACATACAGCCACTCACTGTCCCATTACATACAGTCACTCAATGTCCCATGACATACAGCCACTCACTGTCCCATTACATACAGTCACTCACTGTCCCATTACATACAGCCACTCACTGTCCCATTACTTACAGTCACTCACTGTCCCATTACATACAGCCACTCACTGTCCCATCACATACAGCCACTCACTGTCCCATTACATACAGTCACTCACTGTCCCATTACATACAGCCACTCACTGTCCCATTACATACAGCCACTCACTGTCCCATTACATACAGCCACTCACATTACATACAGCCACTCACTGTCCCATTACATACAGTCACTCACTGTCCCATTACATACAGCCACTCACTGTCCCATTACATACAGCCACTCACTGTCCCATTACATACAGCCACTCACTGTCCCATTACATACAGTCACTCACTGTCCCATTACATACAGTCACTCACTGTCCCATTACATACAGCCACTCACTGTCCCATTACATACAGCCACTCACTACAGCCTCACTGTCCCATTACATACAGTCACTCACTGTCCCATTACATACAGCCACTCACTGTCCCATTACATACAGTCACTCACTGTCCCATTACATACAGCCACTCACTGTCCCATTACATACAGTCACTCATTACATACAGCCACTCACTGTCCCATTACATACAGCCACTCACTGTCCCATTACATACAGCCACTCACTGTCACATCACATACAGTCACTCACTGTCCCATTACATACAGTCACTCACAGTCCATCATATACAATCACTCACTGCCCCATTACATACAGTCACTCACTGTCCCATATTATACAGCAACTGTCTGTCCCATAACATACAGCCACTCACTGTCCCATTACATACAGCCACTCACTGTCCCATTACATACAGTCACTCACTGTCCCATTACATACAGTCACTCACTGTCCCATATTACATACAGTCACTCACTGTCCCATTACATACAGCCACTCACTGTCCCATTACATACAGTCACTCACTGTCCCATTACATACAGCCACTCACTGTCCCATTACATACAGCCACTCACTGTCCCATCACATACAGCCACTCACTGTCCCATTACATACAGCCACTCACTGTCCCATCACATACAGTCACTCACTGTCCCATTACATACAGTCACTCACTGTCCCATCACATACAGTCACTCACTGTCCCATTACATACAGCCACTCACTGTCCCATCACATACAGCCACTCACTGTCCCATCACATACAGTCACTCACTGTCCCATTACATACAGTCACTCACTGTCCCATTACATACAGCCACTCACTGTCCCATTACATACAGCCACTCACTGTCCCATTACATATACAGTCACTCACTGTCCCATTACATACAGCCACTCACTGTCCCATTACATACAGCCACTCACTGTCCCATTACATACAGTCACTCACTGTCCCATTACATACAGCCACTCACTGTCCCATTACATACAGCCACTCACTGTCCCATCACATACAGTCACTCACTGTCCCATTACATACAGTCACTCACTGTCCCATTACATACAGTCACTCACTGTCCCATTACATACAGCCACTCACTGTCCCATTACATACAGCCACTCACTGTCCCATTACATACAGTCACTCACTGTCCCATTACATACAGCCACTCACTGTCCCATTACATACAGCCACTCACTGTCCCATTACATACAGTCACTCACTGTCCCATTACATACAGTCACTCACTGTCCCATTACATACAGTCACTCACTGTCCCATTACATACAGCCACTCACTGTCCCATCACATACAGTCACTCACTGTCCCATTACATACAGTCACTCACTGTCCCATTACATACAGCCACTC